CATCCTCAAACGTCCTGATATTGATCTAGACATTGGCAGTAAGGACTAGCTCATGAAACATGGAGTTTTTTGTGTTCAAGTTGCGGTTATGGAAGTCACTAGTTTCAAGATGTTCCCTCAACTGAGAATGAACGCTGCTTTGGGTCCTCTACTGTGGATTAGAGTCTAGAGCTTTTCACACTCTGTTTCAATTTCCCCCTTGAATACAGGCTTTGTGTGACTACCTATGGTTTCGTAATTTTGTATTCGTTGTAGGTATCCTGCCTGGCCTGTCATGGCCTGTGTCTCGATTCTGAGAGCAGATCTTCATAGAGCCCAAAATTGATGGTTCCTGAGTCTCCTGCTACGATGGGGAAAAGAAAGCTTGTCACTACGAAGTCAATACTAGTCCAACTTGCCTACATAATCATCGTGGTGAAAACTAGTCTCGTACTTGGTCAAACAAACTGCTTTGAGTCAGACATGCGACTGTTGCCGTTGTGACACTTGTGTAGCTGAAAGGCATATTTCCTTGCTCTTTAAACGTTGTTTAAACTCATTGCGTGCGCGTGTGTGTGTGTACCTCGATTCGGTGCAACTGCATTTCGTTGTGACGTATGGTTTGGACCCCTAAATTCTTGGAAGACCCAGCTCGTTCATGCGGTCTTTGGGCTCTCAGTTGCGGCCGGATGATCAACATAGTGAGATATAGTAAGTAGGATAAGCAGGCTTCGTCTAATTACAGGCGCTGTTTGGTTCGATAGCACCGGCTTACGCTTACACAAAAAATGCGACACCCCACAGAGATGAGACCTGTAAGCAATTATCAACTTTGTAAGATTTTGCAGGACAAGAATTGGTGACTATCGAGCAGACTGTCAGATTTTGCCCTATTGAAGTTTGTTCCCTCAGCGGCATGCGTGGAGCTTGGGAACAAGACTCCCCTTCACTTAGCTACTTTTTTTTGCACAGAGCTCACAAACTTATGCATTCGGTTCATTCATTCCGGTTCAAAGTCTTTACATGACTTGAGACAACAAGGATGTGCTGCACTATCCGCAAGATCTGAGGTCAATGTCTGTGGCTTTCGTGTGCTCAGGCCAAGATGCCAACAGAACTTGAAAGATCAGCGCGTATTCATATTGCTTGTGAAGAATGAGACTGTCTTGTCTGGTGAGTCTTGCAGCATCGAATCATATCTTGGGATCATGAAGGTGTGCAAGCACCACTTGTCCGTGGCCAACCTATCCGGCAATGTGGCTCTGGCCAACCAAGGCAGCGTTCTACTCCATCCAAGCAACATGTGGAACAAGAAGCTACTAGGAACAAGTGCATCGCTTCTAGTAACAAGTGCCTTACTACAGTACTAGGAACAAGAAGCTACTAGGACTTCTTACAAGCTTCTTGTGGAAATCCGCACCGTCAGATTTCGCGCGCAAACACAATACATGTTGCAGCTTCAGCACCTCAAAGCCAGGACACAACACAAAGGGAACACACAACGGCCTGTTTTGCAGGTTGTCATCCAGAGGCTGGTCCGTTGCAGCTGCCTTATCACCGACGCTTTTGGCCATCAGCCTGGCAAAGAGGTCGGACAGCCAAGCTGCAGCTTCAGGCTAGCACCAGGCCCGCAGAAGGTCCTTCGCATCATCCAAGGCAGAAGCATATCCGCAGGGCGACAGTCTTCATTGATGGAGTGCAGAGCTGAAGTGGGGAGACACCGCTACTCATGGCACTCCAGCAGACTAGTGCATCGAGCAATAGAACACACTCATGACTTGTCATGACAGTGTTTGTTGTCCTTCGTTTAGTTGAAGGTTCTAAACCTGGATTTTGCATGGAGGGGGGAGAGCCATGCAGAAGCATCCCAGGGTGAAGTGACAGCCAGGGCGGTAGGAGGTGACACCAACCTGAAGGGTTGATGAAAAAAGGGTGAGTTGTCCGCTGCCATAAACGACCTTGAAGGAACTCTAAATTTCTAGATGTTTGAGTGAAGGAAACATGACCCTTGCACCAAATGAAGTATGTGCTAGAACAAAAAGTTCCGCCCAATGTATGGTAATTTCACTTACTGAAGTTTAGTATGCTATGAAGCGAAGCAATCAGGATAAACATGCAGTTGACAAGAGCACCAGATTTATCAGGTTAGGCATTGGTTGGAATTAGCTTTCAGAACAACATTGCAGACATTGAAGAGGGCCTACTAACGTTGGGCGACGCTGGGCTTCGCCGCTTCGACATGTTGCTGGGTTTCCAAGGAAGCTGGCACAACTGGCTTGCAGGCGGCTTTTGGTGGGGGTGAGACAGGCCTCGGCAAGTGGCAGAACAGGCTTGAAGGTCAGTATGTGAGCATTGGAGGCCGGTGTGAGCAAAATTGACAAACCATTGTCAAAACCATGGCAATGATTCTCATCAATTATTTGCAACCAAACCAGCACACGGATACGTGGAACCCTGTTAACATGTGGCTGTCAAGGCTTAAGCTGCGTGGTGAACCTCTGATCTCATCTCATTCTGCCATGGCAGAAGATCCTGAGTCCGTAGCGCTGCTGGCAGAGGAGGCAGAACAACGACCCAGGCCTGCCAAGCTGAAAATATTGCAGGCAAGAATATACACATGGTCTACTACTCCACACCTTGTCTTGAAGAACTTCCTGGCCAGTCATGTCCCGTTACGAGCTTGGATTCAAAAAACAGGTCAGAGCGCCTTTCCCGGTGCCTATCCCATCATCTTGACACACCGTCAAAAGAACATTACACAACTGGGGACACAAAAGTAGATTGTCCAAACGAAATGAAACATTGCCCTTTACAACTCGCGACCGAACCAACATGAAGCGACAACGTCTTCTGCAAAGCGGCTAGTAACGTAAAAGAGATCAACAAGGCGATATTCACAACCTTGGCTGTCCACTGTTTTGAACATGTTGGATAGAACATGATAGAACGAGTCGCACTGGGCTTGGATTTGCAAGACAAGTGCAATTGCTTTTCATAGAACCCCGCTTTCCGGGGACTGAAGCAGGATGACTTGGACGCTGATTTGGCAGGTGCATGTTGTAGAGCTCAAGTTGCAGACAATTGCTGGACAAGCCTGGTATTCAAGTTTTTTGATGTTTTTTGTATTGGTTCAACCGCCAATGGATAATCGGATATTGTTTATTAACTTTTGGTGTTAGATGTGGATGGACAACTCACATGATTGGTTCGATGTGCCAGGCCTGGCTGCAATCGACTGGTCACCCTGCTCCCGGTGGTGGCGCTTCTGAGCTTGGCGTTTTTCTTTACGCCTCACACGAAGTCCTTGCGCGGAAACGAGGCGAGCCAAAAAGCAGCCGATTGATGGCAGTATATATTGAATTCCATGGTTATGTCAAGCCGAGGAACACATTGGATTCTAGCTTCCTTCAGCAATTCAGGGCCCTTTTGACGACACAGTTTTGCAATGACGGTTTGATATTGCTTCATGGTTTCGTAGATTCACAATGATTCGCATCGGGAGACAACAGAACCTGACAGAAACCAAAATCCTGGTGAGGCTGGTGCTGTACAGCTCTCTTTGTTGCTCTTTGAACCTGTTGACGGTGGAATTGAGCGCGCTTGCCGTGGTGCAGACCAAAATGACAACAACCCGAGCCACTTTGTGGTCACCTCAGCCTCAGACTTGGCGTCATGTCAGTTGTCACTTGGGAAAAGCTTGGCTGCCTGTGATTTTCGCCTACTTTCCCCATAGCTTATGGCCGGAATACATACAGTATTATGGAAAGCCTGCAGACCTTGGAGTTTAGTGCGTCTTGATGAGTGTTGAGCAAAGACCATATGCTGAAGGGTGACAAGACGAGAATCATTCATCATGGGTGAAGACTTGGGGAAGGAATTCACGAGGGAAAACTTGGGGATGGAAGCAAAGGACGCTACTACGAGCAAAGGACGCTACTAGGGGCTCCTGGCCTTACTACTAGGAACAAGAAGCTTCTAGGGGCTCCTGGCCTCCTGGCCTTACTACTGGGAGCAAAGGACGCTTCTAGGGGATGGAAGCACCATCGGTGCGACCTGAAGGATTGACTTTGCTGCCATCAAGGTTGTGCCTGGAGTACGGTGGTTGTCAAGGAGTTGAGTTTCACAGTGGAAATGGTCGTTGCGAGCTTTGGATCCGTCCTGATGGGATTCAAGCGTCACGATCCTTTTCTCCTGCAGAGTGCTACAGGCTGCCTCACTCGGGTGTGTCCCAAACAGGGGTCTCTTCACTTCTTACTTGTGCCTGTGCTTCAGTACCACAACTTTCCGGGGAACAATTGCTTTTGCAGAGCTTGCACCGTATGCATTGTGGCATTACACCCGCGCAATTTAACATCATCAAAAATAAAAGTAAAAAACATTCTGTGTGGTATGTTAGCGTGAGGTGTCCTATGTATGAAAAAGCTCCTGGGAGCGGGCCATGTTAGTGTGGGCAAACTGGGAAAGTTTCCCAGGTAAATGAAACAAGGTGTGAGACTAACATGGACCTGTTTGGAAGGGTTATTGGGCGACAGCACATGTTCTATGTTAGTACACTGCCTGTAGCATTTTGGCCTATGTTGTGGTGGTCTATGTTAGTCTCCCCAACCACCTCTTCCCCTGAGACCGATGGTTTCCATAACTCCAGGAAACCAAACGAGCAGGGAGGCCATGTTAGTGAGCACTGCGACTTGATGTCGTGTTCCATGATAGTTTTCGCGGGAGTATGCGTATAGAACCAATGTGTTTCAAGTTATTTTCTCATTATCAACAAGCGTATCCCCTGCGTTTCCTGTAGCCTTCCATGAGGCAGGAGATGTGGGGGAACCCTTGGCTGGTGGTGTTATCAAACAGTGCCTGGTGGCCACATCACGGGCTCTGCAACTTGACAACTTTTCCCACAACTTGCCAAGCAGTTCCTTCCCTTCCCGATGAACAAACGATAAAACTAAACTGCCTTTCCCTGTTAGCACCGCCCAGTGCATGCGCATGCCTTGAAGATGCTGGTGTGGGTGAATCACCTTGTTTTACAATGCTTTTCCAGCATCCCAGAAAAGGCTTTCGTAACCTTTCGTAACCGGAGACTGTAGCTTGGCTAGCATACAGCAAGGTCAAGCTTGGCAAAGCTTGGGGTTTGTGACAACGTCGAGCGGTCCATCTTTTGCTTGGCAGGCGCGTAGGCATTCTGGAGCCAGTCGATGGCGGAGTGGATCGTGCCTGTCGTGGAGGCTCTACAAGTGACAACAATCCGAGCCTTGTCACAACCTGATCAACTTAGACTGAATGGTAGGACTCACGACGTGTATCCACTATGATAATATGCATTCAAGGTCGAACTGAACTGCTTGAACTTGGCGGCACAGGTTCACGAAAAGGAGCCTCTACAAAGGTCCATATTTTGTACAGGATTGACGATTTTGATTGGCTTGCGCGGATCAGCCCTTAGAGACACTAGTGGTATTGTGACAACTTGCGTCTTGCCCAGCTTGGGTCCCAAGGAGCAACTATGAGATTCGCGAGGCACAGTCCTTCGAGGATTGCCAGCGTGAGTGCTTGATAGCAGCGGAGTGCAGGCCGGTGGACAAGACGGAACTACGAAACATATGTCAGAATTGCTACTGGTGCAGCTTCAACAAGAGTGAACAGCGGCAACATGTCTTTGATTCAGGACCATTTCACCTTGTGCATGTTGAAACATTCGTGCCGTGATACTTCCTATGCTGTACTGGTATGTGCACATTTGTTTGCGATTCATACCACTTGCCACAGGGGCATTGAGTTCTCAGCGGGACGATGCGAAATTTGGACGCGCCCAGAAGGGATCCAGGCTTCAATTTCTTTATCTGGGTTTCAATGCTATCGCGCCACGAGCACAGCCAACACTGAGACAACCACTGCAACGTCAACATTGACCTCTCTGACGACTGTGACAGCAACGTCACTGACGACTTCTGCGACGGCAACATCCGTGACCGCCTCTGCAACGACCTCTGCCACATCAATCCTGGCCACAACGCCTTCGCCAGACGCAATCAGCTTCAGGGGTGTCGACGGTGGCATAGATCGTGTCTGTCGTGGTGCTAACGAGAACGACAACGATCCAAGTCACTTTGAAGTCTTTGATGTTGATGACCTCGAAGCATGCAAGGATTTATGCAGAGTGACGACGGCTTGTGTTGGAATCGAGAGTATTGGCAGGAGGGGACTGAAAGAGTTGAAAGGTCTTGTAACTTGTAACCCATTGTTGGTTGAAACATGACTAAGCATTGGGAGCACCCAACATCTGGCTCCTGCGTTCATTTATGCCTCCCTGTGCGTCGTTCAGACCCATCCACAGAAGAACATATATAAATTTGTATAGACAGATTATACATGATATCTAAATTGGATTATAGATGATTATAGCCTAGCTGGTGAATGAACCCCAGCTCCCCAGATCATAATTATTCAGAATCATTGTCTTGATTGGTGCAAGAACTATTCCCTTTCGATTTGGTGTTCAATGGTACAAACCCTTGAGGCGGTGCGAGATTTGGACGCGTTTAGATGGAATCCAAGCTTCTCGAGAAGTAGCGGGCTATCAGTGCCTTGAGGTGAAGCTTCCGGGCTTTGAGAGGTAAAAACGGGTAGACTTGGTTGGGTTCTTTTGATAAGACCCATTCAAAAAAGGGCCTCATGAAAGGGACCCAAGTCGACCTTCGTTTTTCCACTCATTTTTTCAACAACGGCAAGACGATCAAAGAGGAGATGGCATGAGACACCTTGAGACATCACCATCCATTTCTCCAGGCAGTGATGTTCGCTCCTGTGGATGGTGGCCAAAACCGTGCGTGCCGCGGAAATGCTCCGGGTGACAATCTTCCGGAGTGGCTTGGATGCACCGGGATGGCAAATGGTCCAGCATACATACTGTAACAAAACGCAAAAGATCAGGCAACGCAAGTGGGTTGGAGGCCATCGCTCTTCGGTTGGCTCCTAGTAGTAAGGCCAGGAGCCCCTAATAGCGTCCTTGCTCCTAGTAGCGATGCCCTTGCTCCTAGTAGGTTCCTTTGGCTCATGTGAGGAGTCGATTTCTGCGACGGTCCTGCCCCCTGATGATTCCAATTGGTTCAATGTACAGGTTCTCGGATTAAATGGGGTGCTTCTGGGCTTCTCAATGACTTGTTCATGACCAGCTCACTCAGGCGGTTCAAAGCTAGCTAGTAGGGTTGTTTCTACTGAACAACAGGGTCAAACGCTTGTGGCACAATCGATCCATGGCTTTTCACAAGGTACTATCAAATCGCCACCGCATTTTCTATGGAAGATTGTCAGCAGCAGTGCGAGGCCTGGCAGAGTGGGTCAAATTCCAACGGTTCAATATCATGAATTTATCCAAAGATAAATCAGCCGCTCAAAACATTCAGAAGTCAATAATTGGCTGCCCATGTTGAATACTGTAATGTTCTTGCTGAATATCTTGCATGCTTGGCTCCCCCCTTGTTTGTGAGAGTGCAAGAGTGCCGTTAAGCGTTTGACTTGATGAGTAACCTACTTAGGTGATCGAGAAACATAATCTTTGATCAGGTGTAGATATGAATTCAACAACATAGTCATTGTGATGTAAGACTGGCGTAATCATGGTTGTGTCGCAAGTGGCCCTTGGTGCCTGTTTTGGCACTTTGTTGACATCGGTTTATGTAATTCAATTGATGCCCGAGGCGAATTCAACAACCTGCACCGGTGTGGAATTCTCTGGCAACAGATGTGAGGTCGGCACTTTCAAATGCTACGCGGAGTGGTGAGCGGTGGATTGAGTTGTTTTTGAAGGCATTTCGCAACCTGTAGTGTAGTCACTGTAACTTGGAGTAAAAAACTAACAGGGCATCCACCATGGCAGGGTACAACAGGTGAATAGACTCTTGGCATGTGTTTGTGCTAACTGAATTCAGATTCTGTAGACACGACACTGATTTAGTCACTTAGTCCGTTCCTGTACGGCTATGCAGATTTGGAACCGTGCCATATGGACATCCATTGCCCTTGATGGCTTTCAATGCTTCAGGCAACTTGCTCTCGAAAACTGCAAGACGAGAACGCGTTCATGGTCATGGCAGTATGCAAGCCTTTGCAAGCCGAATGAAAGCAAAGCAAGCATCATGCCAAGTACGGTTTTTATAACAGGGCAAGAAAGATGCCATATGGGCAGCTGATTCTGATACTGTCCCCAATGTCCAATCAGGAAAAAAAAAAATATATCATATCGCAAAACAATATGCTCAGACAGGATAAATTTATATATATGTGATACAGTCGTATTCCTATGCACAGGAGCAGCAGTATCAGAGTCTCAGGTATGTGAGCCGCGTTCAGATGACGTTCTTGACTGAAGTCTTGCCTCTCGGATGATGTAATTACTTCGCAGATTTTGGGGCTTTCCATCGAATCGAGAGGAGGTTGGAGGCCATCACTAGTAGGCTGGAGGCCACTGCCATTAGGTTGGAGCCCCGTCAAGTTCGGCCTACTCAGGGCATCCACTTGGGACATCACTGGCGGAGTTGATGTCGAATGCCGAGGTGCCGACCCGGAGGACCGGAATCCGAGAAAATGCATCGTTCGGTAAACGAAACGAAGGCTACGAACCATTGACTCCTAGTAGTAAGGCCAGGAGCCCCAGTAGCGTCCTCGCTCCTAGTATTTCCAACACATTCCAACACCCCATATGCAGCTTTCCTGGTGAACATTGAACAATGAGCAGGCATAATCAATCGTCGCACTGCATGAACTAGGCGACCGATGGGACCCGCACACTTTTGCCCATCGCCTGAAAAATTTGAGCAGCTTTACTTGAGGTGTTTGTAGGTTGGAGTCAGACAGAAACCGCGCTGTTTGAAAGGCGGTGTGCATACATGAATCCTATTGAATCCCAACAATTCTTTTGGAGCTGCTCTAAAGCAGGCTACAGCACATAATTGCTGTACATACAGTAGCTGTTGTTTGAAACAACTGGATAGTGGATTCTGACAAGTCCCAGGCTTTGTGTGCTTCATTTGCCATTGGCAGGATGATTCACCCGGCTATTACTCTCTCGTCGAAGCCAGCTCTTTGCAGAGGTGTCAGGCCCAACGTGGCAACGATTTGAAATGGCGATGGGCTGGATGGGCTCTACTCAACTCTAGCACAGACCAAACCATGAAACAAAGGCTACTGAAATGGGCCTTAAACTATCCCATGTGTGCCTTGTGGGGTACCAGATCTGATCACACACGCGGCCGTTCGCAGCTTTCTCCCCCTCGCGCACAATGTCAAATGTTTCCACGGCAGGACAGGTGCCTGGCCTTGACCATTTGCAAAGGCATCGAGTATCGGCGAGGTCACTGTGAATTGTGGACACGTCCTGGAGGTGCCAGACGCAACATTTCTTCCACATTCGACATCATTGTCATTAGACTAAGACCGATCAGTTTCGATGGCATCAAACTTAACAGGAACTAGGGCCACACAGGTCAACCCTTCGACTGTCACGCCACAAGCGGCCGACTGCAACTTTGCCAGGCATTCAAGCCACCAAGCCCTTGGCAGATTCGGTTTGCCTTCAGAGACCCGGTGTTTTGGCATATTTTGGCAAGCACATTATCTCACCTGTCAAGTTGAGTATCTGACAATATCTCACATGATCTCACCATTTGCAGGCCTTTTAGGCCTTTTACTTCATTTATCTACTTCCCTGTGGTGCATGATTCGAATTACAGTACCATTGTAGCACCCGTGTCTTTGTTCAGAATGTTCAGATTCCTTCGGAAATTCCTGGGATGCTCACTGGAAAGTCCCATAGAGATCCATAGAGTGGTGAATCGATCAGCCACGTCCGACAACACGAGGCTCGTCTCCGCCTGGTGCTGTGCAAACGAAGTATGTGGCTCATTACATGCCATGGTTCCTCGGCTTTGACAATGGCTATGACCATTTCTGTCAGGGCAATGCCCACTATGAAAGCTACCTGGGAGTCTATGACTTGAACAATCGTGACATCATCCGCCAACAACTTGACCTCATGAAGAATTCCAGCATTGACGGCTTGTGGATCGACTATCAACTTGCAAGCTGGAATGATGTGATTGATGTCATCATGGAAGAAACGGCCATTCGCGGCATGGGAGTGGCTATCGTCATGGATAGTGTGACAAACCCAAACATCTTCATTGATGCTGCCCAGAAGATGGTTGAATGGACGAGCTTGTCTCATTACTATCGTCACAATGGCATTCCTGTGGTGCCGATCTTTCAAACCCCAGACATCAACTTTCAGGCCTTCCCCTTCGAAGCTTATTACATGGTGAGGCGGGAATCTAATCCCCCTGCCTGGGCCAATGGGAGACTTGGACAAATGTTCCAGCAACATTTCAGCATTTTCTGTGCCTTTGGTTGCTGCTTTGACACGGTTTGACATGTTCTGTTTGAAGGAAATGCACATGGTTTGCACACCTTTTCCAGTTCCAACATGTCTCCAAAGGTGTAACAGTTCCAACTCCTTTGATTTGCTTGCATGCTCAGAAGGCTGTGTCAGGTCATATCCTTGGGTTACGCCATCGCTGAACTCTCTCGATCTCTACTACCAGCAGGATCATAGCCTCTCATCCTTTGCTATTGGTGCAGCCTTTCGAGGTTTCCGAGATTGCTACAGTGAGACTCTTCTGAATGGTATACAACACATGTCATTCACTGTAAGCCACAAAATGCTGTATATCGGGCCCGGGAAACACTGACAGAATCAGGATCGTACCTTGATTACGCCGTTCCTCCAGATGATGGGGCCGACCTTGGACCTTGCCAGCAAGTTCCAGCCAGAATTCGTTCAGGCGCAGACCATGGAAAGGATGTAACAGGCAACAGGTACGTAGTAGTGTTTGTATGTATGTGTAGTATGCATCAATCACCTGGGGCCGCACAATTCTTTATCAAGGCACTTTTCGGACGTCTTCCACATATTTCTCCGACGGTCGCCAGGTGATTACCTGGAATGACTACTCAGAAGGCACCATGATAGAACCCTCGTGGGTTTGTCCACGAAACCTTTGTCTCAGCGCCTGCGCACAGAATGTCCAGAACTGCTTGACGACCGCGGCATGTGACTCGGGCTTCGACCCTTTGGACTGCAGCAAGCCCTATGGCAACTTCAGCGGACCTGTGGATCCCCAGTTGCTTGGTGAGTGATCCATGAAACATCCTGAAACCCACATCAATCCGCCATTCCAATCCATTTCAGTGTCTATTTTGTTTTCATGGCCTCGAGGAGCTTTGATGTTGGTTGAACATGTCCTACTTGTAGCCATTAATTGATGTTCCTCTCTTGCCCAATTGCAAGACCATCCAAGACCTGTTCAGCCAACCTTTCTTCCTACCCGACATTGACAGCGTTTACAATTTGCTTTCAACGAACATGGAATTATCAACGTTGAGCAACACCTTTAGACTCTAAACCTCTTGCTGTTCTCAAGCCCTCCAGACCTGGATGTAGCTCGTCAATGAACCAGGTGCAACAGCAATGCCATTGCCAGCGCAGATGACGATTTGCGGCTCCTGGCTGAGCACATCCGTGCAGAAGCCGAGGGCACTTTGCAGTTGGACTATGGTGCCCTCAGCACGTTCACAGGGTTGGTGACGGAGACTGAGGGCTGGTACTACAGGAGCTGAGGGAACAGCAGACAGATTAGTTTGGTATGGGTATGGGGGTATCTTGATGGGTTAAACTTGTGTGCCTTCATTTAGTGGGCTGCAGCACTGCAATTACAAGTTCTGGAACGCACACGAAAGCAATACCTCAGGACTTCAGAGGAAATCATGATGGTGAAGTGATCGATTTTGTATAGACCATCCTTAGATCCTTGAGCGGAGCATTGCCTTGCGGGGAGAGCACTGGACTTGAGAGGTTTCGGTCGTGGTTTCAATGTTATCTCACTTTCAATGTTGGTACGGCCAGCCGTTTCTTCGCATTGGGCACAATACTGTGCTTTCTTCGTATTGCGAGCATCGCTTCTTTTGGCTCTCTGACAATGGTCCGAGAGCCGAAACACACTGAAGACAAGTTTCTCCTGTCAGATAGGATGAGAGAAGCCGTCTATTTACAGCTATATACAGTCTGTCTAGATGCAAGGCTTGTGAGATTGTACGGAAGATCTGTCAGTAGAGATGAGTCATTTGAGTACTGATTGTCTTACTCATGTTCTCTTAAACAAGATCATAATACGAACTGGCCTGCCTGACCTCCCTCACATGCCGCTGCCTTGAACTGTTTTTTGGGGGACTGGAGTCTGCACCTGACTGACCCAGTTAGTCTCTGGAGCTTCAAGGAAACCTGAGCCTCCGGAGCAAGACGCCTTCAACCGAAGAGCCACGAGATAGCGAGATCGTGTGAATGTGAACATGTGTGAATCATTGCTTTTTGATGCATTCTGTCTCCTCGATCATTTCATTCTTGTGACTGGAAGGGTCGAGCGAAAGGTGAGGGGACTCTGTAGGGACCTGGAATTTGGTAGGGTCATGCAGCAGCAATCCTCAAGGTCAAACTAATTACTCTGCTGGGCTAGCTCTCAAACAGGTTTGGCAATGTCTAGGAGTCTAGCATTTGGAACAGTTTAAGTTAAACTTATATAACTTAAATAAGCCATTTCTGCTATTTCTTTGATTCAAAACGCCGCGCGATAGACTTTTGAGTTTCTTTGGCCACTAGCAAGTCTTGCATAACATTGCAAATCTCCGTTCTCAGAGGGTTCAGGTCAAATGAAGTTGGTGTCGCTTCATTCCTCCTGTCAATTTCATTCATCCTGCAAGATGTAGAACGCGCCTGCAGTGCTTGAGTGTGCAACCAACACATAAACTATATTAATCTATCATAAACGATCATGAATCATAAACTTCAACAAGGCATGACATGTGACAAGATGAGACACGTCAGCCCTGTGTTATATATTACCGCATGAATTGGATGAACGACTCCACCTATTCTTGGGCAATTTGCTACAGGGCAAAGTCCAAGATACCGAAACCACTGAAAAACTAGCAACATATTTATGGAACAGGTGTTTTGGAGTGAGGGGCATACATGACTTGTCGTTTTAATTCGTTTTATCTCAACCTTTATCAGATTCCCACTATGCGTGTGGGATTGTGATTGGGGTTGTGTCACAGTAAGCGGGCAGCGACTATCGTGATTGACCTTTGTGCCAGTACAGGTTCGAGAGCGCCTCGAGAAACATCCGGAAATCCAGATCTTGAGCCTTGATGCTGACAAGCGCAAGGTGGCGCTCTGGGAAGCTTTTGTATCCAGTGCTTTCCATTTGCAGTTCAGAGCCTTATGTATACATCTTATGTCAATGTAAGTCGCGTCAAAACATGTCAAAACAGGCCTGACAAATCTGAAGGTGGAGAAGGCTTCGTGAGGATCAGCACACACTCTCGAAGCACCTTCACAGTCCTTCAGTTGATCCACTGTTTTGTTGCATGCGATCCGCAGCATTGCACGGTTCCAGAACTCCATCGACGAGACTTCTCCAGGACGAAGATGCCAGGAAGGCAGCGCTTCAGAGCGCGGATGCAGCGGCCCCTTGGAGAAGAAGTTGTCCCACGTTGCACAGCTTCGGGGTTCACTGTTTTTCACAGGTTTGTTCAATGGCCCCAATGGCAAATGGTTATCTAATGTTGTTTATGGTCCTGCAATTGAGCGCAATGGTGATATATCCAACTCCAACCTTGAAGAAAGATGGAAAGCCAGCGGCAGAGCAAGCTAAGCGCCTTGGAAAGGATCAAAGCGATGAAACTCTCCTGCGGTGGCTAGGGTGTCTCCTGCGCATCTGAAGCCAAATCATGAGCTTCAAGAGTTTGGATTTGCTTTCACATGATAGAAAAAAGTGCTGGCCTCCAACCTAAGAGCGATGGCCTCCAACCTACAAGCGATGTAGAGCGATGGCTTCCAGCCTAAGATCTATGGCCTCCAGCCTAAGAGCCATGGCCTCCAGCCTAAGAGCCATGGCCTCCAACCTGAGCGATGACCGCCAACCTAAGAGCCATGGCCTCCAACCTAGGAGCGATGGCCTCCAACCTAAGAGCGATGGCCTCCAGCCTAAGAGCAAGCCACTGCAGCTCAAGTCGATTCGATTTCCACCTCGACATGTCGTTGCTGCGCTGTGTGGTGGCGTGGTGAACGAGCTGCACCCGGTCCCAAGTCCGGGACACTATGTGCCCTAGCTGGCTGGCAGTGCTTGGCTTTTTGCTCCTACTGTGGCCCAGCAACCTTGGCATGTGGTGTAGTGGCGAGGGTTATTCCGGATCCACGGCCGGAATGGGAGCCGTGTTTGACACTTGGCAACCTCTGCCGACTGTTGCGGCGAAAACACGTGGAGAAGTACCCCCAGTAGGCTCCGGCCTTGGCCATGGTGCCTCTGCTGAGAAACTTAGCACTGTAGTCAAGCGAAGTTTTCGTCGTGCTGCTAAGCGGGTCCTAGATCATGGGTATTGTTGGTACCGGGGCAGGTGCCTCACTGTTCAAGACATCCCATCCACCTTGATTGACCAAGTAAAGACTCGCTCTTCGGTGGTCTTCGATCAGAAAACACCATACAAACTTGACTCTCGTCCCAAGCAGGTTCACGCGAATTTTTCTCATGCCCCTGCCAAGCGCATTAATACGGTCGTGTGGAATCCGGGTGGGCTATCTAGTGCTAAACTTCACGAATACATTCAATGGGCTAATCAGCAGGATATCAGTATTCACATTTTGCCTGAGACACGCTGGACCTTTGACTCGCAGTGGACTGACAAGCACTGGCACTTTCTACATTGTGGTCTTCCCAAGCATCGTGGCAGTGGCATCCTTGTCATGATCTCACGACGAATTTGTGATGCTGCCTCCACAGGCTATCACTCGATCCTTCCTGGACGACTGCTCCATATCCGTCTTCATTTGCAGCCTCGCTATGTGGACGTTGTGGCAATTTACCAGTGTGCAGGTCATGGGAAAGCTGATCTGCCGACCCGAGCAAGTGTTTGGGATGCCTTTGATAACCTCCTGTCCAGATTGGCAAATCGACATGGGTTAATAGTTGCTGGAGACATGAATTGCTCCTTGACTGTTGGCTACCCTCACACGGGGTGTAGACACTTTTCTCTTGAATGGACGTGCCCGCACCGGTACGTTGCATGCTGATAGAGGTATCTTCAACAACATAGTCATGAAACATAATCTAGTTGCCCTCAACTGCTGGGACCCACGAATGGGACCGACGTCGTTCAACCCGGTCGGAGCTGCTTCCAGGATTGACTTCATCCTGGTTCGACAACGCTTTGCCGACTCCTTGGCAATATGTTCGCGGCAGCTACCCGATGCCCCTTTTGTGGGCTTGGCGACGGCGCGTCACATTCCCATCCTGGGATCGATGCCTGTTCCTTGGACTCCCAGAGGCAGGCCCAAACAAGCCAGTATCACCCTGAACCACAGACAGATAAGTAGGGCGGCGCGGATCGCTCAATTGCCTGCTTGGTATGCATTCCACCAGCACATAAATTGTCTTTTTGAGGCTGCCCTCACTGATCCCAGCAGACCCTCAGACACGAACAATATGCCTGACACAGGCTGGGAGACCAGTCTGCCAGCTGCCTCCGAGACGCCCCATCCTATGTGCGATTTTGTAGGAGTTGAGGCTGTTCTTCGAACCTGTCATCACCTAGCCATGAATAGTTTTCTTGTTCACTTCAGGTCTGCCGACATGCATTCCGGTCGTTTTGTGCAGGAACACACACCTTCGGTAGTTAGAAGTAAATGGGAACATTTCAAACAGTTTCGACGGCCGAGACTCGTTACGTTTCAGAATGTATTTTCCCTGTGGTGGCATCATGTGCAATTCCAACTTCAGACTCGCAAACACCAACACCTGGTGCAGGCATTGAAGAAAGCGCGACTTGACACCATTGTTGAAAAGGCCCGCAGCGCTCCTGCGAAGCATGACTCATTCTCTCTGTACAAATGCATTCGTTCCATACTCCCGAAACCGAATCGACGGATCATGTTACGTAGTGCTAAGGGACATTTGCTTAGTAGAGTTGAGGAGATTGCTTGCTTTAGACAGTACATGCGCACGACATGGGCTGGTCCTAGTTCTTGTCGAACCAATGGTAGACTCAGTGTCATGCCTTTCTCTTGTTCAGACTTGATTCACGCCCTTGCCCACATGCATGAAACGAAAGCCGTGGCACCAGGCTTTGCCCCTGGCTCGGCTTGGCGGAGCTGTGCTGAACCGTTTGGTGAGTGGCTCTTTAGTTGTTTGCAGACTTGGTGGATTGATCGAGCACCTCTGATCCCGCAGAGTTGGAAAGATGGTTGGTTGCATTTTATCCCAAAACCCCATAAGCCTCCCTCTCATCCTTCTCAACTTAGACCCCTTGCACTTACTGATCCTGTAGGAAAGGTAGTCATGCAACTGGTCATCAAAGCTGTTCGTACCCAGGCCTGGCATCACCTCATCTGCTGGCCACAATATGCATACTTGGCTGATCGATCCACTTTAGATCCGATCTGTCGTGTTGCTGCGCATTGTCATACCGCCAGAGAGCTCCGAAGAACTGCTCGACCCTCGCAACATGATCGTGCAGCAGGGTTGACCTGTCCTCTAATTTGTGGGGCCGTTCAACTGTTCCTCGACATCGATAGAGCCTTCGATAACGCATCTAGGTATGAACTTTTTCATGGGTTGCAACAATTTGATATTGATCCTGGTCTTGTTGCTGTTCTTGCCGAGTGGCATTCGGACACTCGATACCACTTCATGGTCCATGATGCGCCCCTGTGTGAAGTAAGTGGGAAAGGAGTCCGGCAAGGCTGCACAGGAGCTCCGACGTTGTGGGCCGTTTTAATGTGCCACTTTCTGCGAGGCCTGTCCCAGCTAGTACCTGAAGAATGGATAAAACGATGCCTCAATCTGTTTGCAGACGACCTCCAAGGGGGTGATACCTTCACCAACGCCCTTGAGCTGCGTTTGTGTCTCCGGTATCTGGGACATGTCGTCGATTGTCTTGAACTGCTTGGCTTGAAAGTCAACCCTACCAAGACGGTTGCCTTGCTGACGCTTTCGGGCTCACAAAGATCCAAATGGATGGCCAGACTGGTCACTAGAGGGAAAAGTGGTGCCTTTTTGCAGCTCCCACGTCGGAATGGAGTGATGTCACTCCGCATTGTTGAAGAGATCACATACCTTGGTGTTCAAATGTCGTATAATATGTTTGAACATGCCACTCAACAGTTTCGAGCCAAAGCTGCCACCTCATCTGCCGTGCATCTGAGTCGGTGGCTCTATAGCAGGACCAAACTATCTGTTCATGATCGTATCAAACTCTGGACAACCTGCATTGTCCCTAGTGCTGAATACGGCATCTTGGCAGTAGGCCTGACCCCGCATGCACTGCAGAAACACGTCACACTGTTGCTCAAGCAGTTTCGCATCATTGTTGGCAACATTGCGCACAAGACTTTTGACAGCCACCAAACAGTTCTCCGAGCCTTTGGGATTGATCACCCGGCCGTGTCCCTTCGTCGTGCAGCAGAGGCCAGACAAACCAAAGCTGAACAGCTTCGATTGCAGTTGTCACCGCATGACATTGTAGTCACACATTCAGCCATAGACATGAGGGCTAATCTAAACCTGTTAGATGCCTTTTGTGAGGACCTCACGGCTCTCCCCACGCCTGTTGGCGGAGACATCAGTGGATCAGGCATTGTCTGTCACTTGTGTGCAAGACCTTGTCAGACGGTTGTCATGTTTCAGAAGCATCTCACCCAAGTTCATGGCATCTTTCGATCCTTGCAAGCGGTTGATTATGCCATCCATGCCCATGAAGGCTTGCCCCAGTGCAGCCATTGCTTGAGACGCTTCCATTCGTGGGGGCCCTTTCGTGATCATGTTGAACAGAGACGATGCCATGTTCAGCCATTTGAACTTGAGACAGTCACCACACCGTCTTTTGATCAGACAGCGGAATCCGCTTGCATAGACCGAGTCCCTGACCACATTTGGCATGATCTCATCAACTATGATGTTGGTCCCACTGATGTGACGAACACTGTCAAACCATGCACCCTTCCTCACTTCTTCTTGTCTCCTGTTCGTGCCAAGGCCATGGACCTTCGACTACTTCGATCCAAAGCTCAGGACTATGCCTGTTCTGGTAGATGGATGGACATTCAGCATGATCGGGAACTTTGTGACTACATGGCCCATCATTGCATCCAGTGTGGCAAGTGGTGTACTCGTAGCCGTGAACTGGCCATACACATTCGTGATGAACGTCCACACGTTCTTCTTCCGGGGATTGACAAGATGCTGAGTATCCAAAGAGACTTCGTCGTGAGCACTCCTTGTCCGTTTTGTCATCTTCCATGGAGTCGACAACACGGCTGTCCGATCTTGCTGCAGTGCTCCATTCTCCAGGACCTGCGTACTCCGCCTATGACCACGACTGATGGCACTGATGCTGGGGGGCCTGGTGCTCCCTCGACACCTCACCCATGGTGTTGCCACATTTGCCAGCAGCGCTTTCCGTCCCGTGCTTCACTGACCATGCACATGCAGGATCATCGGTTGACTCTCCATCGTTTCGATCCTCTTCGGGACTCCGTCGAGGGTGAGCCTGCTTGTTCACATTGTGGGTTATTGGTCACCACTATTGACGTACTCCGCAACCACATCACCAAGGGACATTGCAAGATGTTTGATGCCACCAAGCGAGTTCCTCTCTACCATGTTGGTCCAAGCCTCAGATCAGCCTTGCAGAGTGGCAAACTTGGACCATACCTCACTGAAGCTGGTGCCCGAACACAACTGACCCTTCAGTGCATGAGTTGTGGACTCTCTTTTCCCAGCACACGGGAACTCTCTCGCCACCTCCAGACCAAACACAATGTGTTGTGGAATGAGTCAACGGCCCTGAGTGCACATCTCAAGCAAGTCATTTTTCCACTCACGGGGTGCATTTGCAATCCTGGCCCAGCACAAAGCACAGCGCATCATCATTGTGTGGGTTTTCGCCAACTTGCAATGACTCACCTCCGAATCAACGACACCGTCTTGGTTCCGTGGGTCTTCACCTCTGACATGCCCAGGTTGGTTCTTCCTGCTGACTTTCTGGTGGAGCCCTCGGCCACGGATGTGCCACGCTGGCTTGTTGATCGTGAGTTTCATCGACTTTGGAATTGTGAACGGCTGATTCAGCTTTTGAGTGAGCAATGCATGATGTGTGGTGAAGAGGCCTGTGGTAGTGATCTTCAACTTCATCTACTCACCACCCATCACTGTCAAGAACGGGGTCTCATGATGTTTGTTCCTCAGATCATTCGCCTACTTGAGCCTCCTCTTGATTGTGAATTGGGGTGCCGCTTTTGTGGATTGGCCCGTATGGATGCTCAAGCACATCTGTTGTCCTGCCCCACCTTGATTCAGATCTCCTCCTTGCTCGCCTTGCCTCTCCATGAGCGCCTTCAGTTCGGACCCAATGGAGGACACCTTCACGGCTCAATCATTGGCGGCGCTCCAGTGTTGGGGCCAATCATCGGTCAGCGAAAGCGGCCTGGACCCAGCCAAGCGACAGAAGCGCGAACCTCCCAAGCGAGGCCGAGTGACAGAGGACAAGGACCCCTCCATGAGGGATGCAATGCGCCTCATGGCCAGTTTGGTCCTACGCCACAAGCAGGACCTTCAACAAGTGGCTCGTCAGAACACATTCTTGCTCTTCTTGGTGCCAAGTCAGGAAGGTTGTGTACCCCTGCTGCACCAGGCCCACAAGGAGTGGTCGGATGCCAAGGAGCGAACTCTGACCCTGAGGGCCCACTTGGTTTTGCAGCTACTGCGGGAGCTTCAACGACGGCTGCTGAAGCTGATGACGGGCGGAGACCAATGTCAGATAAGAGCCCAGTTGGTCAAGAACGGCGTGCTGCTCGAGGACCACACCTGGCCCTTCCTACAATGGGATTCCCGCGACAAGCGGCTTGTCTTGAACAAGACAAAGCAGACCATGACCATGTCCCAGGCCCAGGAACTGCTGGAGGAGTTTCTGAGTCTGGTCAAGCAGGACGATGCGATCCAGAAGTTCCATGCCATGGGGAAGCCTCAGGAAGGAAAGAGCCAACCCTGGAAGCTACAGATTGGACTACGGCAGGATCGACTCATGGGCTGTTGACCGGCTCCAGTCACTCGAGTCTGTGGCAGATCCTGGGCATTCAGCTCAAACCTCACTCCCAGCGGATGTCTCCTCTGGGGATCAAGCTGCAGGAGGTGCTCAAGCAGATGTAGACGACATGGAGCCCTCACACCTGATGTCACAGCTGTTGTGCTTGCGCCTTAGCAATCCGTCGAATAGCTGCTACATCAATGCTTCTATGATCACCATGATGTGGGCTAGCCTCCAGCGCCGGCATTTTGCCATAGATGATTGGGGTTTACTTCAGGAAGACCTGAAGCTTCTTTTGGGTAGGGGTGACGAACCCACGCTGGTTCCGGGGATGTCGTTCTTTGAGCGGCAGCTGCCTGGTTGGGACGGCGCCGTTCAATGTGATGTTGTGGAGTTCACACTTGCCTTGATGGCACGACTTGAGCCCACTGTGTTCCATGGTCACTGGGAGCGACGCTACCAGCGAGAGAACGGCTATGTGAAAAGGTATGCGAGGGAAACTGGAGTGTTTGCACTGAGGCTCACTGTAATGCCACACCCACACTGTGAGTTGTACCAACTAGTTGAGAACTGGACTCACGACTCTGGCATGCTGGCTGCATTTGTCCATCTCCCGATGTTGATTTGCATCCAACTTGATCGAGCCCATCCCACGCCAGGTGGCGGGCCACGGAAGAACCTGTCGATCGTCACCTTTGAGCACTTGTTTCGCGTGCCCAGGTTCATTGGAGACGCGATGCCCGTGGAGCATCATGACTACCAAGTTGTTGCTGCATGCACACACTTAGGACACTCAGGTGCTGGGCACTATCGTGCCCTACTGCGCTGTGCAGATGGCAACGGCTGGATGCTTTGTGAGGACGGTGAAGCTCCTTCCAGGATCCCCCATGTTCCTGGCTGGTTCTCCACTCAGGTTTGTTTGCTTTGGGCGGTGCGGCTCAGCGCCCTGTCCACCGTGGAGAGCGAGAAGGCTGCTGCCTCTGCGGCACCTGCGCTGGGCGCTGGCGTAGCTGACGTGCTGGAGCTGTTCATGGAGTGAGAGATCCCCCTGTTTGTCTTTTCCCATTGAATTTTGATTAGATGTTGCATACAAGTGATTGAACGTGTCGGCTTCACCCATACCGGTGATTTTGAGCCGATACTACTCAGCAGAGCACCCAAGACTTCATGAGAAGCCGTGGCATATGCCATGAAGGGTACGCGCAAAGGCGCTTAGCACCTTGGCGTCCAAAAGCCAAAAAAAGCCAGCCTAAGAGCCATGGCCTCCAACCTGAGCGATGGCCGCCAACCTAAGAGCCATGGCCTCCAACCTAAGAGCGATGGCCTCCAACCTACAAGCGATGTAGAGCGATGGCTTCCAGCCTAAGATCTATGGCCTCCAGCCTAAGAGCCATGGCCTCCAGCCTAAGAGCCATGGCCTCCAACCTGAGCGATGACCGCCAACCTAAGAGCCATGGCCTCCAACCTAGGAGCGATGGCCTCCAACCTAAGAGCGATGGCCTCCAGCCTAAGAGCAAGCCACTGCAGCTCAAGTCGATTCGATTTCCACCTCG